CCTCCTGCCATTCTGCGGCTCTCCATGCCAGTTGTACCCACGACTCCCAGGTTCGAATCTCTAGCCCAGGTCACTGCGCTAATGCGGGGGCGGTATGCCCTGCTAACATCCTGACGTTTCCACCCAGGTGTCTGTCCAATCTCAGAGGCAGCAAGGCCAAACTGCTCATTTCTCCTTTTAAGTCTGTTCCTCCAGCAGTCTTCCCCACCTCAGTAAAGGTACGTCCTGTCTTCTACCTGCTCTGGCCAAAACCTATAATCATCCTGACCCCTTCTATATCCAGGGCTCCCCCTAGGTTAACCATAGGTTAACCAGAACCCCAGTGTGAACTGGGAAAGGGTGCCCCTCTGGGCAGGCATGGGACCTGGGGTCTGAATTTCAGTGTCCCCCATACCCCGTCCCCACAGCCCACGGCTTTGTGCCCAACCACACACACACTGGCAGTGTGTTCCCTGGTGGCAGCCTCCCAGGCTGTTCCAGTTAAAAGACAATTGTCCTTCCTGCTGCTTGGCATTTGCTTCCTGCCCATTTTCCAAGTCTGGTCCTCCCTCCTCCTGGCAGTTCCTAATGGCCTTTCAATAAATTCTTCTGCTGCTGAAGAAAATCAGGAACACCCACTGAGACTATCTAGAAACTTGTACAAATCCCTCCTACCCTTAGAATTAGAAAACTCCATTTCCCCATCGTCCCCTGGAAACGGTCTGGAAGGGGCTGCCAGAAGACCACCAATGACGTCACCAAACTGAAGACCACCTGGGACAGCTCTGCTCTAGCTGACACCAGCCTGGTCTCTTCGTCCAGCCTTCCCACCCACATGCCCCCAGGGCTCTGTTCTCTTCCTGGGTCCCTCTTCCATGTCTGTCCTGTAAACGGTGCCAGGCCTCAGGGCTCCAACCTCTCCCTTCCACCCTTTTCACCCCTCCATGCTCCCCAGGGCGCCCTTCACACTCACGGTATGAACCCCACCTCTACCCCTCTGCTGAGTTGCAGACCCTCCCCTGCCAGAAGCCTCCACCTGCAAGTCCAAGGGCACCTACATCCAGCACATCTACGTGGAGCTGGTCCCCTTCCCGCCTACAGCTGCTTCTCTTCCTGCCTCCCCCACCCAGCTTGAGAACCCCAGCCTGCTTCCTAACCACCGGAGCCAGAAACTCAGCATCACCGCACAGCTCCCTTCTTCCTTCACGTCAAGTCCATCTCTCCTAGGCACTCAGGAAATCCGGGAGCTTCTTCTCTTGAAACATCTCTCCAAACCATCCCCTCCTCTCCAACCCCACAGCCTCTGCCTCCTTCACTTCTGCATCTTCCCCGGCTGGTTCCAGCAGCCTCTTAGAGGGCTCCTGGCCACCTTCCTCCTCTTCCCCAACACCAGAGCCGGAGTGAGCTTCCTGCAACTCAAACCTGACGATGTCGCTCCCTACCAATGACAGCCGTGTTCTTTCTTGTTCTTATCTCAGCTTCTTGCAAAGATTCTGGTGTCCTGTCCCAGATTCTGCTGAAATAGGACATTCAGGAGAAAAACTGGGACTTCTTTGCCCTCCTCTTTGCTCCTCAGATATAATTCAGCAAGTTTGCAAAACATTGATCTAGTGATTCCCAAAGTGCTGTGGGAATCATTTGAGAAAGCGGGTTAAAAATTAACTCCCACGGGGCGCCTGGATGGCTCAGTGGGTTAAAGCCTCTGCCTTCGGCTCAGGTCATGATCCCAGGGTCCTGGGATGGAGCCCCACATCAGGCTCTCTGCTCACTAGAGAGCCTGCTTCCCTTCCTCTCACTCTCTCTCTGCTTGCCTTTCTGCCTACTTGCGATCTCTGTCAAATAAATAAATAAATAAAATCTTTTAAAAAAAATTAACTCCCAGGCTCACCCCCTTGGAGATTCCAATTCACTGGACAGTGAATGTAAGATTTTTCCAGAGGACTCTGCATCCTGGCCACCTGCTTCGACTATGATAATGGGGGGAAGGGTGAGAATTCCTCCCTCACAGGGTAGTTGGGGGGCTGAGACGGCTTCTGTCTACATCTGCCTCTCACTCCCTTCCTCCTTTGACACAGCAGTGAATGTGAGGCCCCCCGTGGCATGGGTCTTGCAGACTCAGAGCCCCTCTCGTTGATCTCCTCATCTGTTCCCCATGGCACAAAGGTCTGACCATGACCAGGATGTCCCCCAGTATCTTTGGGAGTTCCTTTGTCTTTCTTTAATGTTTGGTTTCTTCATTTTCTATTTTAAAAATGAATATGGGGGCACCTGGGTGGCTCAGTGGGTTGAGGCTCTGCCTTCAGCTCAGGTCGTGATCTCAGGGTCCTGGGATGGAGCCCCACATCGGGCTCTCTGCTCAGCGGGGAGCATGCTTTCCCCCCACCCCTGCCTACCTCTCTGCCTACTTATGATCTGTCAAATAAATTAAATCTTTTAAAAATAATAAAATAAAATAAAAATAAAAATGAATATGGGCCAGCGGTGGGGGTGGGGGTGCCTGGGTGGCTCAGGTCATGATCTCAGAGTCCTGGGATCAAGACCCATATGGGGCTCCCTGCTCAGCAGGGAGTCTGCTTCTCCCTCTCCCCCTGCTTTTCCCCCTGCTTGTGCTCCAATAAATAAAATCTTTTTTAAAAAAATTTTAAATACAGAGGGACGGAGTTCTGTTTAATGGGTACATTAGGTCGACATGATGACGTTCTGGAGGTGGATGGTGGCGTTGGTCGGGCCAGTGTGAATATACTTAATGTCACTGAACAGCACACCTTCAAGCAGTTCACGTGGTGTATTTTATGATCTTTGTAAAAACTAAACCTGTTCCTCTAGCAGTCTCCCCACTACTCGGCCAAAACCTTAAAATCATCCTGACTTTTCTATATCCAGGGCCCCCCTAGGCTACTCAGTACCCCATTGTGAACTGGGAAAGGGCTTTTTGAAAAAATGAGTCTACAAATTACATGCAAAGCATGAAATCAGGATGAGGCTCCATGTTTAAGTGATACCATGATACCACCCGGGCCAGAGGGGAGGCCAGGGCAGAGCGAGAGAGAAACAGGGAGGGCTGGAGTCAGCCTCCTGGGAGCGGAGCCTCAGGGAGGAGAGGCCCAGACCAGACAAGGGCCAGAACCCAGAGGCAGTAAGAAGTAGGAGGCAGAAGAGATGAGGAAGGCAGAAAGAGCCAAGGCCCAGCTGGCTGGCTGCCAAGGGCGTCTTCACGGGAACTGTGACCTTGGCACCTGAGTGCCTGCCGTTGCAGCCTTGGCCCAGGTGCAGGGTGAGGGAGACCAAAGTGAGCAAACGTGGACCAGGCCTTAACTGGAGCATCGAGTCTCTCGACCTGTCCCCTGAACTAGGACCCCCTTAGAGGTCCAGTTCCATCCTGTAGGAATCAACTGTTCTTTTCCCTAAGAAAGCTGGGAGGGCCCAACTTAACCCCCAGGGTTGTGAGGCCAACCTAAGGATCAAGACTGCCAGAGAAAAGATCCTACAGAAAATCCCATGGACCTACCTGCAAAGTCCGTGCACGTAGCTCGTCCACTACTGCTACCCCGGTAAGCCTAGTAAACTGCAGCCCTAACCACACCCGACCTAGCCTCCCAGCTAGCGGTACGGCCCGTGAGTCCTCGAAAATCAAAGCCGGACCATACTCGCTCGGAACCCTCCAACTCCCATCCCACTCCCTCAGACCGTGTGTGGAGCGCAGTTCAGCTTAGCCAACATCTAAGCTCCTGAAATGTCCTGACAGGAGTGTTTACCTGGAGCCCTCAGACATCTGTCAGTCTAACAATGTGACTTACAAGAAGTGCTCTGGGACACACAACCTCTGGGAAGAAGTGGAGACTCGAGGTTGACCATGTGGGAACCAAGGAGAACCCTGGACACCAAGGCTCAGGGGAGCTTCCCTGCTGGGCCACACTGGGCATCATAAACCAGGGTCCAGTGTTCCACTGGGAGAGGACAACCCACTGGGAGCTTCACACCTGGAGCCCCCCAGACTCCCCCCCTATACACCCCATCCTCTGGTGGCACATGCATCCTTCCGCTATTAAAACACCATCATCTTGGGGCTTTCCTGAGTTCTGTAAGTCATTCTAGCAAATTATCCACTGAGGATGGTTTGAGGCCTGGGACTTGCAGCTGGTGTTTGAAGTAAGGGCAGTCATGTGGGACTGTGTCCTCAGACTGTGCTGCCGGCCAAATTCTTTGTGACCGCCTTACTGGGACCTTCATGATCTGCCTCACCCCTGCCAATAAGACCCCATACCCCGATCCTTGAGTAAGGCATACCCCTGCCCGAGGGCCCCAGGGAGCCCCCTTCCCCAGGTATCTGGCAAAGGAACCCCCTCCTTCCATTTGAACATCACCTCCCAGGAGAGGACGCCTCCAGCCCCTCCCGAAACTCCCTCCACCCCAGGCCCCGCCCTCCCTTCCCTATTACTCTTTCCCCATCACTACATCCGTGGCCCTCTAAATGGCACTCACCTTTCTCCTCCATCTCCTCACTAAACTATAAGCCCCAAGGAGAAAGGGATTTTGTACTTTGGTCCCTCCTGGAACCCCAGCACTGGAAACAACTGTAATGTGCTAAGGACACAGGCGAGTCCTGTTGAACGAATGTCCTCTAGAATCCTTTAGAGGTACCTCTTGGCAAACAAGCCCCCCTGCTCTCCCTCTTCCTCCCTGAAAGGCCAAGTCTGCAAAAACAAGGAAACCTGACCACACTTGGGTGGAGACCATTACTGAGGAGGAGAAGGGAAAAAATCGCTAAGAACCCAAGACCTCCAGGAGAGGCCCCCGGCCCAGATGCTAGTCCTAGCCCGGACCCCATGTTGTTGTGAGCTTGAAAGGCCCCTCCCTCCCGGAGCTAGAGCAGATGCACGAAACTCTCTGGCTCTGAAACTCTCTGGCTCTGATCACGATGGGCAGGTCTGGGGGGATGGGGGCAGAAGGAAAGGAAGGAGGGGGAGCAGGGAGGGGTGCCCCTGCCCTGACAGAGAAGTAGAGAGAGGACAAGACCTCACTAGGTGGGAGTGGCTTTTATTTGAAGCCGGAACACACCTTAATCTGGGGTTTCATCTGTAATCTGTGACAGTAAAAAAAAAACGAAAAGAAACCAGGATCTGAAGGGCCCAGAGAGGGGAGGGGATGGGAAGGGAGGGGAGGGGTGTCCTGTCAGGCCACATAAGGGAAGCGGAGCAACAGCCCTTCATACGGCTTCAGGTTCAGGTGCTCCAACTCCAGAGACCCACCCTCCTCACGGCCCACATCGGTGCTGAGCAGTAGGTCGACACTGGCCGGCAGGCTGGCGCTGGCCGGCACACCAGAGGCCCCCAACATGGCAGTGTGGCCCACACCCCCGAAGTTGAGCACCACCAGGAAGCGCTCATTCTGGTCCCAGTGGCGGATGTAGGCGAAGAGGTCGGGCTCGGGGGAGAAGAGCATGTGGAAGTCTCCGTGCAGCAGAGAGCGCTCCTTGCCCCGCTGGTCGCTCAGCCTCCGGAACAGGGAGAGGAGGGAACCGTGGTCTTCACTCTGGCTCTGCAAAGGACCGCGGAGAGGAGGAAAAGATGAAGGATGCCCCTGGGCGCAAGCTTCTAGTAGCCACCTGCCCGCCCTCTGCTGAGCAGGCCTGGCCCACCCAAAACCCTTACCTGTACACTCATGTTGGTACTTCCGGATCCTGAGGTGTTGGGGAAGCTGGATTCATCCCAGAGCATGAACGGAGCCTTCGCAGGCTGAGAAGCAGAGAAAACAGGACTTGGAAAAGGCCTGGGCCTGCTCTCTCTTCTCGTCCCTCTCCTAGTCCCACACAGTCCCCGACTGTGGCCTGACTTCTACTGGACAAGCAAGGCAGGCTCCTGCCTCGGGTCGCTGCCCACACGGGGCCCTACCCTTGGAGGGCTCTTCTCCCAGACGGCCACAGCCAGCTCCCTCACAGCCCTCCGGCCTCTGCTCCGCTGCCCCACCGGATCTTCTGTGGCCCCTCGACGGAAAACGTCCCCCGTCCCTGTCCTTTAGGCCCCCAGCCCTGCTCTCTTTCGCACAGCACTGAACAGCACTGGGCACCTTCATTCTGTTTTATTATCTAACTTCACCACCTGCAGCTCTCCTGTGCACTGCTGTATCCTCTGCGGGTGGCACAGAGCAGTGACCCCTGAAAACTGCGGAGTAACTAGACAGCAGCTCCATGCACATCAGCAGGGGTGCTGACCTCCAAGCCTATGGCTAAGGTAAGCCAGTGCTTTCGTGCCCTTACCCCGACCACAGCGAGGGCTGCCGTTCATTTCTCGGACTCCTCTGGGCCCTCCCCTGAATCAGGAGTTGCTGGAGGGCAGAGTCCCCTGAACGCCAGAACTAATGAACGAACGAACGGACAGGCGAGGGCTGGCTCCCATACCGAATACCCAGCGGGGGTCAGCTCAGCCACCGCATCTTAAAATAGGCTCTCACTGAATCCCTACAAGAAGCACAATATCCCAGAAGAGATGATCAAGGCGGCGGCAGGGAAATGACTTGCCGAGGCCGCACGGCGACCGATCAGGGGGCTAACCGGGGATCAGACGCGGTTCCGGACAAGGCTCCCGTCTGCCTGCTGCCACCCACACAACCTCCCCACAGCGTGCAGGGGGAGGCGGCAAGCCGTACCTGGCCAGGAAGGGCAGCTGCCTCCAGGCCAATCTCATCTCCGTAGTTGAAAACCGGGGTGCCGGGCAGCGTGAACAGCAGCAGCTGGTAGAGACGGCGGAGGTGAGCCGGCACGAGGGAAGCCAGGAATCCCGTCTGAGACAGCTGCGGGAATGGACGCACGGAGGTGAACCCCAAAGCCCGCCTCTGCCTCCATCTGCCAACACCCCTGCCTCCCGGAGGCCCCCCACCCCCCGCCGGCACCCCTCCCCCACGCCATGGTACTCACGCTCCAGCTGCACCAGCGATCCTCAGTGGCGTTCAGATACTGGGTGACCAGGAATTTCATGCGCTCCCCAGTGGAACCAGAGCTTGACAGGTATGAGCTGGTCAACAACAGGTCCTTGGTGGACCCGAGCAGGCTCAGGATCTGCCGAAGGTCAGAGGACTCGGTCCCGGCAATCAGCAGCCTGCACAGAGCAGGGGTGGGGGCCCAGGTTGGTAAAGAGCAAGAAAAGAATGAAGGTGGAGAAGGTTCTTTGGACTGGGAATTCCCCGTCCCTGGGGCCTAGCCCTCAACGGGAGCATCTCAGAATGCAGCAGAGCTGGTGGGGGAAGTCTGACACTCACCTATCTTCACTGAAGCTCTTGGTCATGTTTTGCCACTCGGCCAAGAACAAAGGCGCATCCTGGAGGAGAAAAAGCCAAGTCAAGGACCAGGGAATGCTACCAAGCCCTGGAGAGTCCCTCTGCTCTCACCCAGGCTCTGCCTCTTACATGCAAAGGGACTCACCTCCAGACTCTCCACGTTCCGAACCTGGAACCCATCCACACCGGCCCGCAGCCAAAAACTCAGAGCATCCTACAGGGAAGGGGGCAAAAGAACAGGGAAAAGGTATTGATACTCTGACAAAGGCTTACAAAATCCACCCCATGTGGGGCGCCTGGGTGGCTCAGTGGGTTAAAACCTCTGCTGTGGGCTCAGGTCATGATCTCAGAGCCCTGGGATAGAGCCCCACATCGGGCTCTCTGGTCAGCGGGGAGCCTGTTTACCCCTCTCTCTCTGCCTGCCTCTCTATTTGTGATCTCTGTCTGTCAAATAAATAAACAAAATCTTTAAAAAAAAAAAAATTCCACCCCATGTCAGACCCTGTCCAGGATGCACTTCCCCTTGACCTTGGGAGAGTCACTTGCCTTGACCAGCCTCACTTAACTACCTCTATCATAAAGGTTTATTAGCCTTCGTCCCTAACCCCCACCCCACCCACTTCTGAACTATCACTGATTCTTAACGCTGCGGCATTTCACTTCTCTGTTCCTCCCCAGGGCAAATCGCACAGGTTCACCTTTGGACACCTATAGGAAAAAGCCCAAGAGAAAAAGTACATTCATAAATGTAACTTCATTTAACCCTCAGAATGTGTGGAATGCTTATATGCTCATGTCAGAAATGAGGCAACACTCCCAGAGCAGCAAGGAAGCATGCCCAAGACCACAGTCAGAGAGCAGAGGACACGGGACCCAAAATGCTAGCCAAGATCTCAGGAGTGTCCTTACTCCTCTCCCAGTGTCCTGAGGCCTGGGAAGGGTAGAAGGAAGAGAGCAGGTCAGAGCAAGGCCAAGGATGAAAGAGTGTAATTCAAAGCACAGCCCTGGGGCAGTCTAGCTGAAGATCTGAAAAGTGGAGTCAGCTCTGCAGCACAGGCCCAGGCCTGAATTCCAGGCAACAGGTGAATGTAGAACATGGGGCCCCCAGCTCCACAGCCCCCGGCCCTGTGCTCTCTCTTCTCACCTCCATTTTCATTTTCGTTTTTCCTGCCTCCATTTTCATCTGAAGCTACCACACCTCACGCCACACCATCTACCATCTAGAAACATTCCTTCATTAATAACTTTTAAGAGATTTTTTTTTTTTAAGTAAACTCTATCACCGACGTGGGGCTCAAATTCACGACCCTGAGATCAAGAGTCACCCTGAGATCAAGAGTCGCTCCTGACTGAGCCAGCCAGGCGCACCCGCGCCCTCCCCTCCATCAATAACTCTTGAAGGGTCTTCCAGCAATTAGCAAGCGCTGAACTGGATGACCAAGGGTCCTATGGAAATGCTGGGAGTAAAGAATTCTAACTCAGAATCACAGGGGCCAACAAAGGGTCAGAGTCTGGTCCATTTTTACTCCACCCCTGCTGACCTGGTCAGTGCACCAGGAGCTCAGGCACCAGGAGCTCAGATGACAAAGTCCCATTTCCAGCCTGCTGGGTAGTATTTGCACCTATACCTTCACTCAGGGAAGGCAGATCACAGAAATGAGACTACCTAGGACCTCCAATCCTAAACACAGCAAGCCCCTCTGAACCTTAGCTTCTCCATTTACAGACAAGAGATGATAGGGTCCCTGCGTGGTCACAGAGAAATTCAGAACACATACAGAACACGTGGCACAGACCCAGACACGTACAAGCTCAGTCTGGGCTCTGCTCCAAAACACATCAAACAAGAGCTGGGAAACCAGACAGAACAGGAGTCCCACAGAGAAAGGGCTTCCTCTCCCAAAAGGAAGAAAAATCAAACCCAGATTGACATCTGAGAAATTCCTTTCCTGGCACTGTTACCATCAGAGTCAAGGAAACAAGAAAAATCACTGGCCAGAAAAGGAACAAGCAAAACGGCGGGGGGGGGGGGGGGGCGGTGCGCTGTTGGCCTCCCATCCTGCCTGCGGGAAGAGTGCGCCAGTTTGGCTCCAAGGACCCAGGGGCCCCTCGGCTGGAGCCAGGTTCCGTTCACAGGGCTTGCCAGGAGGCTCAACACAGCCCCCACATCCAGCTTGCCCCTGCCAGCAGCATCAACACACTCACCTTCATCTTGGCGGCCACAGAGTTAATCTCTGTGGGGAGGAACCACGAGTTCTGGCCCCTGTAGTTGGGAGTGAGGTCCAGAATGACCCGGATGCCTGGAACAATGGAGAAAACCGCAGTCATGAGAAGGACTCTGGGGCGAGGGAAAAGTTAGAAATCACCAAACACAAACCAGCAGACTATTCTGTATGTATCATGTGGCACATATGCTTAGATCTGAACCCAGCTTAAGATCTTCCAGGGCAGCAGGCACACAGTGTAGCGGAGAAGGCTGAGTTATGGGACCCTGGGCTCCCCACCCCCAACGTGTACCTTTTGATTTCATGTGGCTATTTTTCTCAAAAGGATCCTCTCCTCTGAAAGTTTAAAAGCCACTGAATTACAGGCACCTGGCTGGCTCAGTCAGTAAAGCATGTGAATCTTGATCTCAGGGTCATGAGCTCAAGTCCCACACTGGGCAATGGAGCCTACTTAAAAATAAAATAAAAATAAACCAGTGAATCAGGAAAAACCTACATTTTGCAAACAAGGGCACTGAAGCCAAGAAGTAAAACGGCTGGACACAAAACAATTACGTCTCCGAACCACGTGACAAATTCATTTTAGGCTGAAGCCGAAGAAACCTCCCCAGTACCTGCCTTAGGAAAACTCAGACCCAGTCAGCAGCGAACCCAACAAAAATCCTATCCTGTCCTTCCTATGGCCAGAAGGCCAAGCCCTTCTCAGCTGCTTCCCAGGCAACTCCAGGACACCCACTCTTTTTCTTGGCCGACTGCAAGAGACTGTCAAAATCTTCCTTGGAGCCAAAAGTGGGGTCGATCTGTTCCAAGTTGGTCCCCGCGAGGTCATCCTTCTGGTTCTTGTGAATTGGGCCCAGCACAAAGCCCTTCACCTTCAGGGTGCTCAGGTAATCGAGACGTTCCTTCAGGCCTGAAACCGGGAAGCAGGGTTAAGGTGAAGCCCCTCCGGGAGGCCCCTGATCCGCCCTATTCTCCCCTCTCCCAGGAACTCAGTGTGGGGTCGGGGGTGAGCTTCGATCACGAGACCCAGGGGTGCTGATGTAAGATGCCCGGCACATTACTTGAGAAACGTCAGCGCCCGGCTTCCGGAGCCGCAGGGGAAGGGAAGACGCTGAGTCAGGTACCCCCACCCCGCGCCAGAGGGAGTGGGGGCGGCTTTCCTCCAAGAGAGGAAGGAGGGTGCGGGACGACTCCGGGGCGGGGACGGGGTCAGGACTCCGGGTTTAACCGGCCGCGCACGGAGCTCACCGGCGAGGTCGCCCCCCTCGGGGCCCTGGAAGGCCTGAAGGTCACCGATGCGGTAGAGGGCGCCCTTGTGCCACCAGCTCTGCGCCGGCAGCTCGCGACAGCGCGGGGCCTGCACGATGATGACCACGGCGCCGGCGAGCATGCCGAGCCAGCCGAGCCAGAAGAGCACCAGCAGCGCCCAGCGGGTGCGCACCCAACCGGGGCTGCCCGCCACCTTCAGCAGCTCCTCTTTGGACAGGCCGGTGAACTTGGCCGCGGCCGCCGCCTCCGCCTCGTCGTCGGCCACCTTGATCTTCACCAGACCGTTCTTCTCCGCGCCGCCCGCCACGACCGCGGCCATGGCCGCCTCGGACGGCGCGTTCATCGGCTGCTTCTCGGGCTCCAGCTCGTTCAGCTCCACCTCCTTCAGGTCCACCTCTGTGTCCTGGCTCATGGTGCCCGCGGAACCGGCGACGCGATGCAGCCTGCGGTCAAGTGGTGGCTGGACTCCTGTCCCTACCTTCCCGGCCTCACCACGGCCTCGGCCCCGGCTCTGGGTACCAGGGAGCCCCGCGCAAGCTTCGGCTACTGCGTCCGCGTCTGCCCGGGGACTAGCGCAGCCTCCGGAAAGAGGCCGGGGAGCCCCGCCCCCGCCCGCCCCTTAAAGAGGAACGGCCCGGATCGCTCTTTCTGGGCCCCTACGTTTCCTTCCAGACGGACGCCCAGAGAGCTGAGCCCGGAGCCGCCTTTCGGTGGGGGAGTCTGATTTGTCCGGCTCCGCGAAGGGGACCTGGAGGGGCGGTCCAGAGCCGCGGGGGGGGGCGGCCCTTCTCCGCCCACTCCGAAGGCGGGTGCGCGCCCGGACGCGGTCCTCCGTCTGCCCCTGGCCGCGGGCGCAGGCCACCGCGTGGTCCTTCCCACTTCGCATGGCCTCTGGCGCTCTCAGAGCCGGCCGCACGCAGCTCCTCTCCTTTTTTTTTTTATTAGATTTTTTTTTTAACATTTTATTTATTTATTTGGCAGAGAGAGATCACAAGTAGGCAGAGAGGCAGGAGAGAGAGGAGGAAGCAGGCTCTCCACGGAGCAGAGAGCCCGATTCGGGACTCGATCCCAGGATCCTGGGATCATGACCTGAGCCGAAGGCAGAGGCTTTAACCCACTGAGCCACCCAGGCGCCCCACGCAGCTCCCCTCTTTCCCCGACCTAGCTCTGGGACTTGGCGCTAGACCTCCGCTTCCCCGCAGGGCTTCTTCGTCCTTCAAGTCTCATCTTGAGTCCAGTTCAGATAGTTCATCACGCGGCAACTATTCGGCGCCCACCACAATGCATTGATTTATTAACTTGACCGAAAGAACTCTAACCCGATCTTCATGATGTTTTAAGACGAATCTGTTCGGACAGGAGAGTTGAAGCTGACACTCCCCATTTTACCCCACCCCACCCCCAGTTTCTGGCTCCAGGATGTTGGGCAGCGAGGAATCCGACATCCAGAAGAGCCTTGGGCGCCTGCTGGGCAAGCTAGGGCCTGTAGCAAACATTCCAAGGTTGGGCCTCAGTTAGAGACATCCACCATTTTCCTACAACAGACCGTCTTTTCCCCACTTTGCAGGGCCTCCCACAGATTAGCCCAATCTCCCCAGGGTGCCCGGGGTTCCCTGACCCACCCACCCCCGCCCCCCCATCACTTCACTGTGCTAAGCCTTGGAGGCCTCTGCAGAGGCCTTGAAAATCATCTCACCTCCCTCCACGGAGATCCTCGGATGGAGGGGAAATGGGGCAGAGACAAAGTTCATAGCAAGAAAAAAATACAGATTCATAACAGGGACTGCGGGACATCAACAGCATGGGGCCCAGACTCCAGGAACTTATTGTTCCTGACCAGTGCCAGCCGGGTTATTTTCAGAGAAGAGCAGAAGGAAACAAGTTCTTTCTCCCTCTCCACCTGGGCTGGAAGCCAAGATAGCTGTGTATTTGGAAAAAAGCAGAAGCCAAGATCTGAAGAAACAGCAGACAGAAAGGGGGGCCAGAGGAGAGCCAAGGGTGTGGAAAGGCTCATCTTCTGCCTTTCCCTTTCTGCATGCCACAGCCCACCCCCACCCTAGGAAAGCCAGAACTAGAGGGAGGCAGGCCAGGGGGTATAGGGTGGATGTCAGAGGAGTGCGCAAAGATGATAGTAAGTCCAAGGTGCCCTGGGCATAGCAGATAAGTGCCAGCCAGAGACTCTGAACAGACTTTATTTCCAGGGTGAAAGCTCAAGGTTGAGAGCTGGGGTCAGAAATTTAAGACGGTCCAACATAACACCCCTGGGAACATAACATCTCACTCACAGTGACCCCTGCCATGGTTCCAGACAGATGAAGCCAACTCCTTCTGTGTGCAGTGAAGAAGCTCAAGAAGCTCGCCACTGACCTCCCCAAGTTTATCACCTCCCCACACACCTTCCACGGGGAATAGCCACCCAGCGACATCAGCCTTCGAACACCTGCCAGTCCCACAGCATGCCCAGCTGTGTCAGTCCTCTGCATCTCTGCACCTGCCATTCTGTGTCCTTCCCTTCCGCTCAACCTCAAGAAGCTCCAGCTCATTCAAGACCTAGCTCAATGACGGTTTTTCTCAACTTCTCCAAAAGAATTCTTTTTCCATCCACCTCTGCTACAACACATACCCTGTTTGTTTATTACATTTCCTTTTCTGAGTGTCCGCACTTGTGGACAAGCGGCAGGGGCCTTGTGCTATGTCCACGGCCCTGCCTACTTACAGAAGTAGCTTAAGTAGGCGCTTCAAGGGTGTTTGGAAAAAGCGGGGATGAACTGCACCAGTCAAACCCAAATATTTCCCTTCTTAGAAACAACAAAAACAGCAGACGAAGATAAATGGAGAAAAATGAAAGGACACGTAAATTACACTGTATGATATCATAAGCAAGCAAAACAGGGGCGCCTGGCTGGCTCAGTCCTTGGAGCTCGTGACTCTTGCTCTCCGGGTTGTGAGTTCGAGCCCCAGAATGGGTGTAGTGATTACTTAAAAAATAAAATCTTTAAAAGTAAAGAAGGAAGGAAGGAAAGAAGGGAGGGAAGGAAGGAAAAACAAACCATGGCTTGTTCAACCAAAATGAAAGTAATAAATCTAAGGGAAGGAGGGGAGAGAAAGAGGGCAGAAGGTGGCTAGGGATATTCAGATCCTTCAGTGTCTTTTGATACATATAAAACTTTAATATTGGGGCACCTGGGTGGCTCAGTGGTTAAAGCCTCTGCCTTCAGCTCAGGTCATGATCTCAGGGTCCTGGGATCGAGTCCCGCATCGGGCTCTCTGCTCAGCAGGGAGCCTGCCTCCTCCTCCTCTCTGTCTCTGCCTGCCTCTCTGCCTACTCGTGATCTGTCTGTCAAATAAAAAAAAAAAAATCTTAAAACTTTAATATCTACGTAGGAGTGCAGAGTAGATCATTTGTCAAGAAGAATTAAGCCTTCAAGAGAAGGTTGGGACAAGGCAGAGATAAAAGGCAGTCCGGAGGTCCAGAGGCCCCATGAGGCCACCTGTCTTCAGCACTTTACATTCAGGCAGGCAGATAGGGGGTTGGGCCCTGAAATACAGAGGGTCAAGTGTACAGAGAAAATTCCTTTCTAACCCCCTGCTGCAAAAATCCATGTCACGTGTTTGCCAGTAAATGAGGATGGCAGTTGATCCTTGAACAATGCAGGAATTAGTGGCGCAGCCAAAACTCTACATGGAATTTTTTTTTTAAGATTTTATTTATTTTTTTTAAAGACTTTATTTATTTATTTGACAGACAGAGATCACAAGTAGGCAGAGAGGCAGGCAGAGAGAGAGAGAGAGAGGAGGAAGCAGGTTCCCTGCAGAGCAGAGAGCCCGATGCGGGACTCGATCCCAGGACCCTGAGATCATGACCTGAGCTGAAGGCAGAGACTTTAACCCACTGAGCCACCCACGCGCCCTCTACATGGAACTTTTGACTCCCCCAAAACTTAACCACTAATAACCCTACCGATAGTGTAAACAGTTAACACATATTTTGTAGGGTATATGCATTATATCCTGTATTCTTACAATGAAACTGGAGAAAAGAAAACATGATTCAGGAAATTACAAGAAAGAGAAACTTTTTTTTTTAAAGATTTTATTTATTTATTTGACAGAGATTGCAAGTAGGCAGAGAGGCAGGCAGAGAGAGAGGAGGAAGCAGGTGCCCTGCTGAGCAGAGAGCCCGATGCGGGACTCGATCCCAGGACCCTGGGATCATGACCTGAGCCGAAGGCAGAGGCTTTAACCCACTGAGCCACCCAGGCGCCCCAGAGAAACTTTTTTTAATCTGCATAAAAGTGGAGCTATGTGATACTGACCTGTGTTGTTCAAGGGCCAACTATACTTGATCTTAGCCAAAATACAAAAAGGATTTCCAAAGTCAGAGCAAGGTGGAAGGACAGTTTAAAACTCTCTAGGAGACTGTCTGTCCAGCAGACTCTACAACTTTGCCAAAACCCAAGGCATTATTCCAAAGACCCAGAAACAAAGCATCCAGGCTCTGTTTCTGAAATAGTCATTAGAGCACCTGGGTGGCTCAACTGGTTAAGTGTCTGCCTTCAGCTCAGGGTTCTGGGATGGAGCCCCATATCCAGCTCCCTGCTCAGCAGGGGGTCTGCTTCTCCCTCTCCCTCCACCCCTCCCCCTGCTTATCCTCTCTCCCTCTCTCTCTCTCACTTTCTCTCAAGTAAGTAAGTAAAATCTTTTTTTAAAAAAGTAAGTTAACCCCTAGGGCAAATAATACATTATATGGGTTTTTTTAAATGTTTTATTTATTACTTGACAGAGAAAGAGAGAGATCACAAGTAGGCAGAGAGGCAGACAGAGAGAGAGGGCGAAGCAGGCTCCCTGCTGAGCAGAGAGCCTGATGCGGGACTCGATCCCAGGACACTGAGATCATGACCTGAGCTGAAGGCAGAGCTTAACCCATTGAGCCACCCAGGTGCCCCTACATTATATGTTAATAAAAAAAAAAAAAAAAAAAAGTAAGTTGAATAAAATATCCATTAGCTTTGGGGAGTTCAGACATTTAAAAACTGGGTCATGGCTGAAGGTAAGGCCCTGAGCATTTGGAAGTCAAAGCACTGTGGAAATGAATGCAGAGAAGGAGGGGGGATAAAAGCCAGAAAGAGTAAAGGAAATACAACCAAAGCCACCTGTTAGAAAAGAAATTACATGATCTGAAAAGTATCTGGCACTCAAGTAAATCAGACAAATGAACAACACTGCTGGGAGCCTTTCTCTCTAATGCAACCAAGTATCAAAAGAGAGAAACATCAGAGATCTAGCAGATCAATTTACAGAAGAGACAAAGAAGCATTTTTAACATATTATTCTTGGATAGATGACATCAGGTATCTATCTGATCAGAGACAATACTGATCTCATGCCAGAGGCAAAATGGTAATAAGAGATTCACTCAGCTTTAAACGACTAAAGCCCTCCAACATCATATCCTTCTACCATCCTAGTCACACAATACTGGTGGGTAACATTTTTCCATCCCCCGAGACTTTCAGAACTTTCTACCATCAGGTGCCTGTGTGAAGCATCTGCCTTCAGCGAAGGGCAT